AGGCAGTATTCATTCTATCATCTATTGTCCACCTGACTGTACCACGTGTGCGGCCTACAGCATTTGAATGACGTCGCTTTTTAAAGCCATTCGGGGTAACTGTGGGTTGTGAGCGGAGCAGCGGAGTGCTCGCGTCTCTGCTTTGGTCAAACCTATCTAACCTTTCTAACCTTCTATGTTTACTAATATGCCATTATTTACTATAGTGCGCATATTGACCTGACCATAGCATTTTGCAGGAATTATAGATAACCTTAAAACACAATTATGTGTTATATATACCGACTAGCTAGTGCCCGCGACTTCGTTCGCGTGGAATTTGAAAAGCGCTGCCTTAGGGGTTCGATTACCGGACTGGGGAAAATTTACAGGGTTTTTCTGAGAAAAAAAAATAGCCTAAGTTACTCTTTATATAGACAGCTACCTGGTAGTAAAATATTATCTAAATTGGCCCAGCCGTTTTGAAGATTACCAGGAACAAACAGACAGAAAGACAGACAGACAAAAAATATTGAAACTGGTTTTTAGGCATAGGTATCGTGCAAATAACCGTGTGAGCATGAAAAAAACCTATTATTTTGACATTACAAACAGACTCCTTAATTTCATTTATTTGTATAGGAGATTAGCTAATAAATGTAACAGGAAAAGATTATCTCGCATCTATGTTAATGACAATATACGAGTTGTGCATAAAGAGTATCAAACACATTTATCACAAAAAGTAAATCATTTCAGGATATTGGTTCATAAATTACTATTTATTTACTGATATTTAAAAAAACAATAGATTCATGTTAGCTTATTATTTATAGCCCTAATCTACAATACTTGCATTTTTAAATAACCCTAAAATCTACATATTATATATGAGTCAACAAGACAGTATGTACCTTATGAAAGTACAAGAAAATGTTAAAGAAAGGAGGGAGAATGACGTCAAGACGAATGTTTTGTCGCTATCTGGTGTAAGGAGATTCATGTTGACTGGTTCTCGCTGGTTTAGGATTTTTCCCGCACCGGGGCGAACTTTCAAGATGCAAGCAGCCACCAGAGGTGTCTCCCGGGTGGGAGAGCGCATTGTGTACCCGTAAGAAAAAGGATTTTTCCCCGCACTGTTTTTAACAGCACAATTAAATACTGATATATGATCACTTTCGCTGTAGATTTCCGATAATTATCTATGTATCATGTGTTAATGTCACGATGTCTTCACGTGATTAATATGTACATTAACAGAAGTTAGCTCATGTGATTGATACTTGTGTTCAGTTTCATTTTTTTTTATCTAGTATTCCGTTTATTTTAAATAGTTGAGATGTTGACCATTTTCGAAACAGCTTCCAATTTGTTATGCCTATCTAAAAAGTTTATCGGAAAATAAATTTAAAAAGAAAAGTATCTTTTAGAATAACCGCTACAATACTCGCATCTGCCAAATGAGTTGTATTACGTTACTAACAATGATGTTTCATATATAAAAAGAGGTTATATAAAATCATTGGTTACTAATAAATAAGCAAACAATATTCCATAGAGTAGCAAAAAGTACCAAAGTACTTTATGTAGGTGCAAAAAACCCACTGTCAGCTGTCAGATAGTTCATCAGTTATTGACAAGATCTGGTTAGTGTTTGCAGTGACATGAAAATAAAGTTATTACACACAGAACTATGAATTAAGTTACAACGCAATATATTTCCGTGATAAGTGTCAACATCCCAATTGCAAGAAATCTTAAAAACATATTAGAAAAAATATTGTTTAAATATTTTATTAAATTTCGGAGACAAACGACTAAAGAACCTAAAGAACCATAGTGTATACAGTATTAACTGAAACCAACACGTCAAACAAAAGTTGCATTGCATTAAAAAATATACACGTATAAAAGAGATAGAAGATATTACCATAGTAATAAGTTATAATTCAAAACTTGAACACATTAAAAATAAAATCTTAGTTGGCAGATGTTACTAAGGAAGGAGATAAGTCTGTCATGTTATTGCTGTGAAAGTCACCTGAGTCAATAGTTATTTACGTAGCACTCGACGAGAGGGTGGATCGCTAAATCGATTGAATAAGGAAGCCTCTCCCCTAGTAGGGTGTCAAGGGTAGATTCTCCGACAACCTCGTAAGGCTAGTGTCGGTTTTTATCTCGAACATCCTGATGAAGAAAGCTTCTTATCGTTGTTTAAATATATATCACTTAAACATTTAATATAATCATAACTTTTCTGCGGTATCACAGGGTCACGTATTATGGACAAGGTTAAAATAAGGTTTGTTTAGAAATATATCGGCCTTTGTTTTAATGACATTATTTATATTAAATATAGGCCAGTATTGTTTAATGTTTAGGTTGTCCATTTAAATAGGCATTTGTCACCTACTTAATGTGTTTACGTGAATGACTAATATCGACGCGAATACACAGAGCGTCTAGTTAGTTAGCCCATATAGTATAGCAACGTTTTCGAAGATAATAATAGAAATATACGTCGAGTAATCTCGTCTTATTAAAAAGGAAATATGTTTAAAAAACCAAACGGCATTGAAGAATATAAATACATGTATAATTACTTAGCGTAAATTATCATGATATTCATTTTGACCATAACAATATAACTTCATAATGCGAAACAGAATCGTGGTAACTGGCTGTTAAAAGAACAATGGGTGGTTTTTAAACAAAGTGAAAAAAAAAAACACTGCTATAGATTATGAACATTGTCGGAGTACTGTTTCCATTTGCAATGTTTAATATATTTAATCTACACTTATTTATATATCTTCACTATTGAAAGTTTCTAGGTAGATGTAATGGCTTAGTCATTATCTACAGATAGATGCAACAGTTTTAAAACAATGAAGATTTGCGTAACAAGTGACTTCCACCTTGCTAATATTTTTAAGTCATGTAGCTATCTAACTGCTCTTGTCTATAGTCTTCATTTATTATATCATCTGTGACTCAGTCTATATTAGTAGTGTCCTATCGCATTAAGACCGTATTCAAGTGTTTAACATAGAACAAGCAGATAAAGAAAGTTGCTTTTAAAATATCAGATGAGATGCAATATGTTGATCCCCATATGGACTGACATATGAAACATATTTTACTGTATGTATTGTATATTATTGTATGTATATGTTTGTTCGTGATGAAACTGAACATGACCTCGGTGATCTCAATTGCGCCAACGAGCGGACAGCACAAGTCATCGTGAGTTAAATCTTTAAAGCGGTTAAGTGTCTTAGCGGTTAAGCGGTATGTTCGAGTTTGTTTATCATACAAATGTTGAACTTTTAACAAGCAAACAGCAATACAACTCCGCCAATAACAATAATATATGGAAAGGATTACCGTTTCCACAGGTTGCTGTTACGGCTTATAAGTATCTAGGTATTTAATAATTTTAAATGGGTTTATCATAAATCCGAGTATAGTTATTTATCTAAAATTTTAATAACATACTATAATTAGCAACGAAGTTACTCAATAATAAGGTGTAACATATAAGAAAACTAACTCTTAGCACTCAATAATAGCATCTGTTTGTAAATCATAAGATGCAGTTTCAATCTATCAACGAATCGCTGAAATCATTACACCAGTAGTGCATTCCACATGTATGAAAATACGAACATATGGGTATATGTATGAATTCTGTGGTTCTGTGGATTTAGATTTACAACGGCCAAGGCAATGCAATTGCGTGTGATGAATTTGCTAATGATAATACGTATGCTACCAGGCCTTATATAAATGAGGACGACAGAAAATAAAGAGCATGTATTGTTTTCAAAAGATTCTTAATAACTTTCATGTTCGTACGTTTTTCGATAACAAATCAGTGCAAATATCTCTCCACCGATATCCTATCGCTTGCTAACTTTTGCAGAAAGATAAGTGACTTAAATTTTCTACTGCTCTCAAACACCTACTTGCTTCGTTCTCATATTATGAGCTTGGTTCTAGTGATTCGTTTATTCATTCGGAGAATCAAACATTCTTCAGACTATGTTTACTTGTTCTCTGTGTCTACTTATCTTCTGATAAAATATTTAGAATATTTCACGTGTTACTCACTGCAACATGCTAAGTAAAACTATACAAAATCCAAACAATATGAGTAATTATTGACTCAGTGAAAACAATTCGTCAAACTGTAGACTGGTGTTACTGGTGTAAAACAATTCTAACGAAAGTTTAAGTTTTACATAAGCACAAAACGTACGTGGAGAAATCCAACTTTCTCAGTCAATAACAATGGCATGTTAGAACATTTTCATTACAATTTTTAACTGCGCTTTATTGCGACTACATTAAGAATATTGCGAATAGTGTGAATTCACGTAGGATGTCACGACATCTACCCGCATAATACTCGTATATCGATGTAGTTTAGTTTATTGTAGGTGTACGCCCAACTACTGATGTAAATTTCTAATTTAAATTTGTACACGTAGGTACTTATACAAAAATATTGCATTAAGTACATGGTCTTGCCTATGTTTTTGTATTTAATAAATACAAAATTCTCTGTCTATGGCATACAATTGATTATTTTTAATCCATTGTTATACAAATCACCTAAAACGCTTTGTTAACAAGATAAGCTGAAAATATTATGTACGCAGTCAGACAAAAATGTCAATAATGTTTAGTCATTGTGCAGTATTCTAAAGTGGTTTCTATAATTAAACATAGCTTTATATATTAAATAAAAATTTATGTTTAAGAGAACTATATAGACATGTAATAATAAGCAAATAAGAAATAAAAACATTTACCATTCGGGCGAAAATCTGAGTAAGTCTTGATCCGCATTTTCCTTTCTCAATGTATCCTTTATGCAGTGTTCAAATGAGGTGCACTATGGTAAATCAAGGGCCTTCATCACTTAACACTTCGACACATCGAGGGTAAAAACACCTCATATTACGCGTCTCCAATATATTTTTATTTATGGTGCAAGTCAGAAAGGATACAAGTTACTAGGAAAATATTATTAACAACCACTTTTCACATTGTTTTTGCACATGACAAACACAAGTAAAGACACTGCAAAATAAAATTAAAACAACATTAAATTACTGGCTACTACAGTTAGGACGATGCCGCGTACCGCTTGATTTGACAGCTGCGAGCGCGCTACGCTATCCCGAATTCCCGATTGTAATATTGGAGGAATTGCGTGAATGGGCGCGGGGTGCGGAAGCGAGACAGCAACCGCCGTGAATATAGTCACACGTGATAGGGAGCGAATGTCAGGAACGAGACGGGATACAAATAGCACCAGGATTGGCGTATACTACGACCGACGCGTTTTAACACTTGAATCACAAACAAAATGAAATTACCTGAAAATAAATATCTAATCGTCATCTTGAATTTATTGTTCGTTCACTATAATTTATTGGCACAGTGGTTGATTACGTTTCATAAATTTTTGATAAGTAATTTGGTAATTCAAGTGATAAATTTTCGTGTTAGTCAAATCAAGCGTTACGAGACACTTTTTAACGTAGTAATCATTATTATGTATGTAAGAATAAAAATTTAACTGACGTTGTTAATCGGATCACGACTACAACACCGCCGTGTAAAGCGTCAAACGCGCAGGCGCAGCGCCCGTAACTGACGTACGCATGCGCGGCAACTTCATTCCGAGCGATACGTCACTCTTCACGGCGAAACTCTCCTATGGTGGTAGGGTGCATAATAATGGATATAATAGTCAGTCAGACAATCCAATTTGTGCTATTGCCTTGAATAATGCGAATCATAAGTATTATATTTTGTACCTATATTGTTTTAAAAAATTACAAGTGTCTGATAAAAATACCTAATAATTTATCTAAAATTGATTTTAGAAACAAATACGATTACATAGGTATAGACAATTATATTTTAAGGTTGTTATTGTATTTGTGTAATATCATTGGGTATCGACATATAAATGCATATACAATCAAACCGTACAGGTATAAATGTCGAAAAATTCCTCTCCTTTCATGTCTACTGGGACTCTTAGATTACATATTGATAATCTAAGATGAAACCTAGTCTTGAATCTTTTTTGAGAGCAAGCCAAATTCTTCTTTTTTTTAATTGTAATGTTTAATTGGTTCATGGCCATATGATTTAAACTTGCCTCATACCTTTCTCAAGAATTATCCTATAAAATAAGAAAATACTTTTTAATCCCATTTTTAATATCAAAAGTAAGTACGCAGAATTAAAAAAATCTTCGGCTGCACTACTACTCTTACAAGTATTAATAAGGATCTATAATGGTATATCCATTAAGATACATGTACTCAAATTTTTCTGTTTGTTATATTATAAACTATAGTTGTACAAATGTATTGAGAGCGGGATGAACCGGTTCGATCCCCTTTTTTTAAATAGAAACAGACACGTGTCATCTGTTATAAGCGAATGCTTAACCTTATTCATGAATAATTGTAATATGTTATTCTAAATAATAATAAAGGACAGCATTCGGTTGATTGGTATTTTTTTTAATGAAATATATGTAGAGAGTTTGAAATGTATAGGAAGTGGGCTACCACATAATAAAACCACTTCTATGGAAAGATGTAAACGTTATCCTAGTCCCAAACACACTCAAGAAGGCTGGACCCCCGGTGGGCACGAAGTTCCTTTCGCTGTTTCGTAGACGTTTTGGTATAGTAGGTATAGTGTCGGCAAAAAGTCTTGTTACAAATTTTTCGGTCTCGCTCCCATCCGTTCAGAGCCTCAGAGCTTGCAACACGTGCAAACTTCGTTCCAAAAAGACAGGAAAGGGAATTTGGAACTATTTTAAAGAGAAAGATAGGAAGAATTGAAAGATTGGGAGGGGAGAATAACCATTATTTACTATCGAGAAGATCAGGGTCTCATACTTTAATTTGAACTTACAATTGCCTTAAGTCTAAGCTTCTAACTAATCTAACTAACTTCTATTCTATAAAATCTAACAAATTACTGAAACTAGCTTCATTATATAGAACTTTTTTACATCTCCATTTTCCAAGAGCGATTTTGCTATTCAAACAGGAGCAAGAGGGAACAAGAGGCACGAGAGAGATGGTTAATAGATAGTCCCCTCTATCTCTTTCTAGCACAGCTCTGTGACTGACTGGGGAATATGATGGGTATTAACCAGCTCTCTGTTTAGCTAAGCTGCGATTGGCTACTTATTAAAGTAGCCAATCGCAGCTTAGCTAAACAGAGAGCTAACCAGAGACAGATAGAAATATCGAGAATCCATCTCTCTCGTCGCCTGTATCGATCCCACTTACCGGCAGCTGTACCCCTTGTTCTCGCTATGGTTATATCTCTATGTATACCTACAACACTTCTATGCTATGTGTACGTTTCAAAATTAGAGCTCAGTCGGTGCAGAACTTTTTGAGCTTTTGAAGCCTACACAAACTAGCTTAACAAATTTAATAAGTATACTTATAGATGTTTATTTCTACTGATGAGGGTCATGTTACTAAATCGCACAATATCTGTAAGTATCCATTTTTTAAACAAGTAAGGAATACAGGCGTAACGGAAGACTAAACTCTTAACGGTAAGTTTGCCAAATCAGCCATAATACTCAGAGTGAATGACCCCACAAATCAAGACATGTTGCGGATTGTTGGTTAATCATTCTCATACTACGAGTATAAGTACTTCCTATCTGTAATGAGTTTTGTTGTAGAAAAGTAAGTGTATAAATTTATGTTACTAGAATAAAGTCAGGATAGTATAGTATAGATAATCGACTAAAGTCAGGATTAAGAAGTAGTTGAAAAAATATGTCTAATTTCATGTGCATAAAAATCTTTATTCATACCAAAACAATACATTCTTGCATTATTCGCCTACACTTAGCGCGTTTGTTCGAGTATTCGTCATGCGGCCTTTAAACACACGGACAAAGACATGAAAGCCGGATATAGCAAATTTATTTCAAAACTCATTTGCACAAGTTAAGCGACTAACATGATAATTTAGTCCATTAATTTCGTAATAGATATTATAAAAAGAGAAAGTAAGTAACTTGTGTATGGTGGTTTAGGCTAGACGTTTCATCAAAGCAAAACAAAGTTATTGTGACTACCGCCATCTAGTGATGATTGCTAATTGATCAAATTTCGAGAACTTAAAAACAAGCCAACTTCGACTTGGTCGACGTGGTTACCTCATAAGTGCACAGATGTCGCTGTATACATTTTTTCAGCGTACTGCAACTCAACACTGTGTCGTTCTCGACACTTGGCATAATTTTGTATCATGTATGCTTGGCATCTCACAAGGAGTTACATTACACGGTATTATTATAACCTCGGATATCTCACAATATAAATAAATTTATCGTATTGAGCCACTAACAACTGTTAAGTGCAAGAAAAATATTATATTATATAAGATATGAAATCTAAATAATTAATTGCGACATTAATTAATAAAATTAAAATGTTTTTGGATATTTTTTATAAGTTAGATATGAAATACGTCATTTTTGTTATTTAATATGTGTACATATTCTATTACGTAGCATTTTTACTTTACCTTTTCGTCTCCTCTGGTTTCGTGTTTTTTTGACGCATTTCCGAGGTTTTTTCTTTCTTGATTCGAACTGTTCCACTTCACAATTACAAAAAGAACTTTTTGCAACTTGAATTATTTTGCAAACGAAGCACAACACCAAAGCGATCATTTTAAACAGATCATCCGCGGTTTAGTTTATCTATCTTCTACATGTTATCTTACACGCACCGTATGTTTTTTCTCTTGTTAATCTTTACTTCGTGTATCAGTTGTTTGTTTTCGTGTCTATTATTTCCAGGCTCTAGCAAATTATTAAAACGAAATTTATGAACACTGTCCATGAAATAATACATAAGTAACCTTCACAGCACTGCACTTAAAGAAATGATTTCTGAATCTTGTTTGGTGTATAAATTAAATGGTTTATCGAAAGGTTATCGGTTCACTAGTGACAAACATGAATGTGTAGACACATCCCGCGTCAATCTGATAGTCTTAGCATGATTTCTATATGAGGCTAAAAATATATACCACACGCGTCGTCATTTTTATTTTATTGTCACTGCACTGCACTGCACTCTATGCTATGTTGATGTTATGTAAATTATCAACATGAACAATAAACAATGAATAGAACAATAAACATTGACTTCAAGGGACACATTATTTATGTTTTATTTGATCTGTATAGTTCTTTTAGGGTGTAACTAGTTGATCCTTCGAAGCATGATTATGAAGTGCTCCTGTGCGGCCTATGCAGTATGCACATATTTTTTTTTTTAAATCCCCTCCGATACCACCTATCGTCGGCATGTCAGACTCGAACCGACTAAAACCGCACGCCGTCTCGGGTACTAATAGCCGGGGAACCAGGTATACCCTAGAAAGGAAGTCCCTGGTGCAATGCAGTATGCACCTGGATAGTTGTAGCTTAGCGGTAATCGTGATATGTTTTTCATTAGGTCGGTATGCACTTTCTCTTTAAAATTGACATGCTTCATTAATTATATTAAAAAACCAAACGCATATGTAATGAAACAAAATTATTTATACAAAAAGGTCACATAGAGCGGATACGCTATCTAACTAAGTAGGTACCTATAACGTAGACAGGAATGGTAGGTATGTATGTATTATGTATTTTCAATATATTTTAACTTTGAGATAAGTATCTCAAAGTTAAAATATATTGAAAATATATTTTATATATCAATATATTTTAACTTTGAGATAAGTATCTCAAAGTTAAAATATATTGAAAATACATAATACCTAACAGATATATATATCACTAATATATATATAATATATCACTAACAGAAGTCTGTTAGTGATATATAATTTATTAGCAATTTTATGAAAACATCAGTAAATATGCAAGTGCCGATACGAGTATACCACAATGACGAGAAGTCTAAAAAATCTAGCTCTGTTTCTGAAAAAACGTCCTTCAGCTGCACAAGTCTATGTATCGAAATAGTAAACATCTTCTTCTATTGAAAGTTACTGTGGTACGCTGTAGTGGTACCTACTACCAATTTATAAAAGAGATAAGTTAAATAAGTAAGTATTTTTGGACTTCGTTAAAAATATTCTAGGGCCAATGATCTTAAAGTACCTACCATTCAAACTAATGGACGATTGAAGTTCTTCCTAGTCCAGCTAGGTGCTAGCATCTTTACATGTTCCGTTTACTGTGACTCAAAAAGAAGGAAGAACCATAGATAAAAAGAAGGGGTAAAAAAAACTGAAGATCGATATGCCATAAAGCAAAGGTTATTTAAATTTTAGCCCTGGGCGTAATATTTAATAAGAGAATAACTATTATGAAGCCTATTTCATGAGACATAAGGTACAACGAACAAAACATTACTTCGAAAATAAGCGTAGGTATGTTCTTATTATAAAAAGATGTTTCAAATTTAAGGACTCTATATTTAAAGCTAACGGGATTTTAAGATAAAAAAGGTAGCAAAATTGAGATAGAAGCTTACCAATATATGAATTGCTATAACACACTATTAACTTACCTATTCTTGAAAGAGAAATGTAAATAGAGGTATAAAATATTTAGATAACATTAGTTTGTGAGTACGTGTTGTAAGTAAGTATTTTTGGACTTCGTTAAAAATATTCTAGGGCCAATGATCTTAAAGTACCTACCATTCAAACTAATAGACGATTGAAGTTCTTCTAGTCCAGCTAGGTGCTAATATCTTTACATGTTCTGTTTACTGTGACTCAAAAAGAAGGAAGGAACGTAGATACCTTTAGAAAATGTCGTTTTTAATTATTTTTTAAAAGACCTCGTTAACTTTTCGAATGTGCGTGTTTAATAGGACCGAGTAACGTTACCATGATTTCGGTGGTAGGCGGGTACATTTATTCAAATAAATTGAGGTAGATATATTTATAGGAAATATTAATTTTAGATTTAATCACACATATTAAATATTAGTAGCAGATGGAATATATTTATTTAATTTTTAAAACTGATATCTAACGACTTCAATATTCTAACCACCGAGATCAAGATATGAATAATAAATTTACATAAACTGGAAATTACCCTTTGAACTAATTGTCTGTATAAATTGAAGGCTTAAAGTATAGAAAAATGCATTTAATGAAGAATCATTGATAGAATAAATCTATCAATAATTCTTCATTTTGTTGTCTGTATCGACACAGACAATATTACAACCAAACAACAAGATAAATATAAGTTAGGATATCCCAAACAAATTAACAGACGACACGTAGGGGATTAAACTATTACGTTGTTTACGTTGAAGGTCAGTATACTAAAATAACCACAAGATTAATTATTTAACCACTGGTTCAGAGTTTTGTTAACTAATGGACGAATTCTGTTACACTGAAATGTAGAGGCTTAATTTAAATCCGAAGGGATCTACGTATAATAATTTTCTATTACGAGTTCCTAAGCATTTTCTCTGATAAATATTAATGTACCTACTTTATGTAGGTATACAATCTAGGTATTTTCCTATGAGCCTTTTTTCCCAAACTAGGTTGGGGTTGCCTTTAAGTATACTTCGATTTTTACGCAGAGCGACTGCCATCAGAGCTCCACAACTCAAGTACCTACCTACTAGGCGATATCGAACTTCTGTAGAAAGAATGATGTCGGACTTTTAGGGCTTCAACCAGCTCCAACTAATCGTAATGATTGCTAAAAGTGTTGGTTTACAATCTAGGTATATATGGAAAATAAAGGTAACAAAAAGTCATTACGAAATTTAATTTCGTTTTTAATTTTGAAGCCGCCCTCGAAGAGGAAAAAGGAACTGTAAAGATCGATATGTCTATAAAGCAAAGGTTATTGCAATTTAAGCCCTGGGCGTAATATTTAATAAGAGAATAACTATTATGAAGCCTATTTCATGAGACATAAGGTACAACGAACAAAAGATTACTTCGAAAATAAGCGTAGGTATGTTCTTATTATAAAAAGATGTTTCAAATTTAATGACTCTATATTTAATGAGATTTTAAGATAAAAAAGTGTAGAAAAAATTGAGATATAAGCTTACCAATATATGAATTCCTATAACACATTAACTTACTTACTTGAAAGAGAAATGTAAATAAAGGTATAAAATATTTAAATAACATTAGTTTGTGAATACGACCAGTTGTTTTTGTCAGTATTCTGTGATGCAGACTAACGAATACAACAACTTCAAATGTCCATACCACATGTGCAATGAGGAAGTGTTAGCGACACTACAGAATAAAAAAACAATCGCAAAGACACAGTGTGCGTACAAAATACTCGAATGTGTACCGGCCGGAAACATGATTAACCCATTAGTTCTTTTATTGTAAACATTCTTACTTAAATATATTGTAATGTTTATAAAAATCCAATAAATACACTTATTCTATGCACGTTTCACTGCGACTCGGAGACAGGAATTGTTACATCCGTAGGTATTTACTATTTACACCTATATAAGTATTATCTTTAAAGGGTTTATATTGATTGGTTCGTCCAGTGGTCAAATTCGACCATAATCGTTACAGGAAAAAAAACATAATGATCTCGCTTCAAGATTCGTGCATTGCATCTGAAACCATGCATTTTTTAACAATAAAGTGTAGTCGAAGGTATAAAAAAAGTTGTTTTTTGTTAACAATACAGAAAATCAGGAAGAAAATTGTTCTCAACCTTTACCTATACCATGCAATACTCGCTAGGGATCGATAAGAAGGTAACTAATAAATTAACCCTCTCGTATTTGTAAGATTTAAAACCGATATACCAAGTATCGCGTGACAAAGTGTACAAATACTTAATAAAATAACAGTTACGAATTGACATCGGAATTTATAGTACAAGAAAGTTATGCTTGTATTATGTATTTTATAAAAATATGAATATAATATTGTGTTGCATGTGTATCAGTCGATGAATGTGCAAAAGTACGAGTTCTTAGAAAGAAACCCTAAATGATTTTGTGAATTACAGGCCTGTTTGGTAGGTATGGATATTGAACAAATTAAACTCACCCAGCATCCTATTGACTTCTCCTTTTTCAGTCATCGTCGTCATCGACGTCTTTCATGGCTTTAAACCTGAAATGAAAAAACTTACTAAAGTTATGAGCAAAACATTGTCACCCATCCTAAATTACTATTATTCGTTTATATTAAAATGTGACAGACTACAGATACGATAACAACAGGACTTCAGGATTTCCATAAAGTACATTAAGTAGGTTTCAATTTTTACCTTGGTATCGAACTTCTTTTACTTCCTATAAGCACAGTGTGTAAGCACAACAAAATACTTCCACTCACACCAAACAAAACTATGAAACTCACAATTTAACAACGTTTTATATGAAATTTATTAATAATACGTTTCAACAACCACATTTTCACTTAACTACTGTTAATTTTGCGCAAAATCAAGGAAATACTGTAAAGATTTTTCAGTTTCTGATAGAGGCATCTCGACAAGGGTTGGAAGGCGAACGCCACGGACTTTCGCGAACGTCTCCGACAGTGGCCGAATGCAAATTTGTACAGAGACGTAGCTTGGAAATTGTGACCTCTTTATAAGTAACTATTTGCGGAATGTTTTTTCCTTCTTCACAAAGCTTTATTAATGACTTTTATTTTAAAAGTACACTCAAAATG